AACGTTAAACCGTTGTTTAAAAGCGCATCGAACGCAAAATTGCCCGCATTGCAATATTAAAAGTTATTTAAAAAATGTTCCAATATTTTTGCACCATTTTTTTTAAACAAAAAAGCAAATTTAAGCTTTGGTTATTATTAAAAACCGTTTTAACAAAATAAAAGCGTTTTTTAAGCATTTCGAAAAAGGTATGGTTGCTTTTTTTGGTAATATTGCCGTTAGCTTTGCTATAATTGCGGCGCATTTAAATACCCAAATTTACAACCGCGCGGTTTCCCGTAAGGGTGCGGCGTTTGTATCGGCGCCGGAAAGTGCCGCTTTCGGCGTTAACAATTTTAGCAGCAATAACTTTAGCGCCGGCAAAAAAAACGTAATTTCCGGAAATTTTGGTTCCTTTAAATACGGCATTTAATCGATTTTCCTTACATATTTTCCTAATTAATTATTGGTATTCCCTTTTTAAAAAGTGGTTAATTTTAAGTTTTTTTCGTTAATTTGTTATAGCTAAAACCATAATTTTTTTATTATGCTGCTTTTGCAATATTGCAAAATTTTAATATTTTTAATTACTAGCTAAGCTTTAATGTTTTAATAAATAATTTTAAAATGCTTTTTTTTCGCTTTCCAATAAATTTAAATACCGTTAACATGCATTTACCGTTACCCAAACGTTTAAGCCCGTTCGTTATGCTATTCGGAGGTTTTTTACTTTTTTTTCGGGCAAGCAATGGTATTTTACCATAACGTACGTTTAAAGTGCGGTAATTGCTTTAGCGTATTGCGCTAAGCATACCTTTTACGGGCTTTCCAAAATATATTATACTTTGCATGTTTTTCGGAATTTAAATATATCGCACTATTAATTTAAAGCATTCCTTATATTATACCGTTTTTACTTAACTTTTTATTTATAAAGCACAATATTTTATGGTTATTACAAACCGTTTACGGGTTTTTTTACGTTTTTTCCCGGTAACCAACCGGTTCGGCACGTTTAAAACATTTTTTTGGGCCATTCCTTTGGCTTTTATTATTCCTTTTTTATAATACCCCCGTTTTTTCCGGGTACTTACCCGCTAAAGTCCGGTATTTTCCTTATTTTGTAAGCTTGCTTCCAATAAACTTGCTTTATACGTTTAAACAATTTTTTTCGTAATATTTTTTTTAAAAATTTATAAATTTTCCAATTTGTTATAACCTATCCATTTAACAAAATATTTTCGCTTTCGCAAAAGCCTTTTATGTTTTAACAAAGCTTTTACTTTAAAGCGGTTTTTTTTTCGCTTTAATTTTTGGTCCTTTATTTTTTAGCTTTTTGCCGGGTTTTTTTCCTAAACGCTTGTAACAAATTCGCCGGAAATACGTTATGTATTTAGTAATTTACAAAAAATTTTAACCGAAACCTTAACCCGGCCAACCCAATTACTTTTAAAATTTGGAAAGGTTTTAACCATTTATTTAATAACTTTTTCAACGGCTTTTTTATTTTAATGTTTGCCGTATTTAGCAATACCCAATTGCTTACCCCGAAAAGCACCGGGGTTTTGTTTTTATTATAATACTTTTTGTACGTATTATTCGCTTTTTTTAGCAATTTTTTGGCTTGCTTTTTAATTGCTTCCAAAGCCCCCGCTTTAATTTTAACCGTTACCAAAGGTTTTTTTTTAACCACCCAAAAGTTATAAAACTTTCGTAAGTAAAATTTTATTAGCAAAAACGCCGGGGTTTTTTGCAACCCCAAATGCACGTTTATATTATGCATTTACGTTACTAAATTTAACAATAACGCCCAATCGTTTTGCTTTTTGCAGGAAAAGCACCGGAAATAATGCTTTATTGCTTATTTTATTCGTTCCGTTTGCCCGTTGGTTTAAAAATGGTATGCTATCGATAGCCTTTTTGCAATTTTTAAATATTCGGCAAAGGTTATTTAAAACCCGTTTGTAAATAATTTGTTCCGGTTCGATACAATCCTTTCGGGCGTTTTTAATAATTTTTAAACGTATGCAAACAAAAAGTTTCCCAATTTTTTATTGGTTAATTTCGTAAACGTTGGAATAAAAAAGCTATATTTAATAAATTGGTTAACCATTACCAATATTGCGTTGCGCTTTTTACCGATTCCATTTATTAACGTTAAAAGTTTTTTAATAAAATTTATCGATAATTTTTGTTCCGGGCGGTTTGGCACGGGTAAAAATGCTAGCAACCCGTAAAGTGCTTATGTTTTTAGCTTTATTTATTGGTATATTTAATACGTTCGTACGTATTTGCGTACGTTTTTAGCTATACCCGGCCATTTAAATTGCCGTTTAAACTTTTTTAAAATTTTAACCATACTTTTGTAACCCCCCGTTAAGCTATTGTATTGTTTTTAAAGCATTGCCCATTGCAACGGCGCTAAATTTAAAATTTAAATTTTTTTTATGCTTAAACAAACCGTTGTTAATTTCCCAAACGTTAAATTTATTTTTCCAAATACCGTTTTAAACGAAATCGTTTTTTGCTTGTGCTTCGAAAATGCGCTTTAATATCGTTTTAATATTTTTTTAGTAATGGTCGTTTACGTAAGCTGCTTTTCGAAATTTGGCTAATAAATTGCTTTAAAATTCCTTTTTTGCTATATTGGCTTTCCCGTTTACAAATATATTTTAAAAACGGTTTAACAAGCTATTTGCAAAATTCCGGTATTTTAATTTCCATTTAATCGTAAAATCGTACTTTGCTAAATTTTTAAACCACTTTATTTAACGCTTTATTACCTTTTTTTTGTTAAAATATGGGTATAGTTTAAATGGTTAGTAATTATTTTAATAATTTTTTGTAAATAAGCCAAATAATGCCGCGATTTTTTTAAAAGCTTTTACGATTACTAGCAATTCCGAATCGGGAATTGCGTAACGCAATTCCCCTTATTGCAATTTTTTTAATAAATAAATTACCGGGTGTTAACGGCCGTTTTGCAATTGCAATAATATTGCTTTTATTGCAAAAGCCAAAGCATTGGTTTTTACGCATAGCGGTTTCGATAAATCGAAATGTACTAGTACCGGGGCTTGTATAAATAATAATTTTAGCTTGCAAAAAAACCTTTTTCGCAATGCTTTTTAAATAAAACGCCGTATCCTTTTTAAAAAAAGTCGTTAAAAGCGTAATAATTTTCGCGTAACCTTTTACAAATTTCCGGTAATATCCCGTAAAGCTTAAAAATATTTGCACGTTTTTAATGCTTTCCGGTATTTTCCATTTTTAAATTGTAATAATTTTATCCAGCAAAATTTTAATTTTAAATTTGGTTATTTTAAAACCCAAAAAATCGATGCTATTCGTTTCGAATTTGCATTTGGCTGGGCTAACGTAAAGCTTGTACTTTTTAAATTGCTTTAGCACCGTTTTTATTGCTTTACGATGCTTTTCCCGTATTTTGGAAAAAATAAAAATATCGTTTAAATATATAATGCAAATGCTATTAATTAATTTCCTAAATGTTATATTAATAAAGCTTTGGAACGTTATTAATGCGTTAGCCAAACTAAATGGCATTACTAAATATTCGTAATGTTTATATTTGCAACAAAAAGCAATTTTCCATTCGTTTTTTTATTAAATCCGTATTTTGTAATAAGCGTTTTTTAAATCCAATTTGGTAAAATATTGGCTTTTAAACACCCGGTTAAATATTTTATAAATTAACGAAAATGCTAACCGGTTTTTTTTAATAATTTTGTTAAAACCCCGATAATTAATATAAAAGCGGAGCTTTCCGTCCTTTTTTAAAACGAACAGGATTTTGGCGCCGGCGGGATTGGTTAAATGCCGGATTTAACCCTTTGTTATAATTTCGTTAAAATATTTCCGGAAAATTTTTAATTCCTTTTCGAATAAAGGATAAATGCTTTTGTAAAGCGGCATCGTTTTTTCCTTTAATTTAATTGCGTAATTTTAATTTGTATATTTTAGCAAAGGGTTTAATTTATAAAATTGCGCATATTTTGCAACCATTTTTTTAACTTATTCCGGAAAAACTTTTAACTTTTCCCCGGGGTTTTCCGGGGTTTCCAAACGTGCAACCATTAGCACGGCTATTGCTTGTTCCAATTAAACCAGCTTTTTAGCTATTTCCAACGAAATTATTTTAATTTTTTTAATGGTTACTGGAAATTTCCATTTTATATTTCCAAACCGGATTTTAATGTTTTTTTGTTAAAGCTAAAGCATGCTTAACGTAATGTTATACCCGGCCCGGGGCATTATTACGTAAAATACCATTAATTTTCGGGTTATTTTTTAATTATTCGTTGTTTGGATTTTGCACTTTTTTTTTTTATATAAGCATGCGCTTTTTGGTATCGAACCACGCTAAATAACCCCCGTTTAAAACCGGTATTTCTTTTGCTTTTTGTTAAAAGCACGGGCGAAACCGCCCGGCAAAAAGGAGGAAAGGGGCACTGGCACAGTTGGCCGGGCACGGACCTTCCCGGTAACGTGCCGGCGAGGTGCCGGTATCGCGGCCAAAGCATAATGGCAAAATTAAAAAATAAAATAAAGCTTAAATTGCACGAAAAAGCATAAAGCGCAAAAAATTTATAAAACCAACCCCGCGTGCCCGAAAGGGCACGAAAAAAAAGGTTAAAAAAAACAATTTTTATTGGAAATAGCACTTTTGGTAAAAAATTTACGGAAGCTTAATAAAGGAAATACCGCATCCGGCCCGTAACTTGGTAATTACCCGCTTTTGCACCGATTAACCCTTAACATATTGTTCTTTTTTTTTACCTTTTTTATTTAAAAAACAAGCCCGGGTAATTACCGAAAAGGATTAAGCAAGCTTGTAAAAAGCATTTGCAATTTTGCACCGCTTATAATAACGCCCGACGCTACGTTAAACACGTTGGAAAAGGCTATTGGGCTACCGGAACAAAACACCAAAAAAGCCTTGCAAATTTTTGATAATTTCGAAAACCTTTCCGTAAAAAAGCTGCAAAAAATAAATAACGCTTGGGAAGCTTAAAGCAAACGTGCTCGTTTAATTTAAAAAATTTAAAATAAAAGGTTAAAGCATGCGCATAAAAGTTTAAACGAAAATAAAAAAAACATTTTTAAACAACGGAAAGGTTTTACGTAAAGCAAAGTTACTTTTAAACCGTTTATATTTAAAAAATTTGCAATATAGCAAAATATTGTTTATTATATTAGCAATTACGAATTTATTTTCGAAAACGAAAAAAAACGCTACGGTAAAAACCGTGTAAAGGTTTAAATAGCTTTTAGCACTTTCGATTATTAGCAACGGGCATAATGGACAAAATACAAGCAAATGCATTACCCAAATATTAAGGTATCGCTTATTTAAGCCGATTTTTCGCGGTAGCTTTAAGCAAAATCGAAAAACCCTAATTTGCAAATGTAACTAGCGATTAAAAAGCTTGCGGGAAATACCGTTATTAAACAAAAAAATTACAAATTGTTTAAAACGTTTCGGATTTGTTAAAATTTGGTAAAAAACAATTTTTTCGAATTAGCATTTAAATAAATAAAAATAACATTGCTTTTTAACCGGTTCCGTTTTAAAATCCAAAAACGGGTAATATTTAAAAGCTTTCTTTATATTATGGAAAAATTGCAAGCCAAAGCTTTTAAAGTAAAAATAATATCGAAACCGCACAAAAGGATATTAAGGGATACCGGTGTTTTAACCGCTAAAAAACCGGTTATTTGCTTTAAATGCGGGCAATTAAACTACATCGCTGCAGCATGCAAAATACGAACGGATAACCCGAAAACCCCGTTGGCTTTAGCAATTATACAAAAAGCGAAAAGGAAAAAGCCCGAAATACGGTATTACGGGTATAAAAAGCTAGGTTATATCCGGCCGGCGTGCCCCAAAAAAAGCAAAATATTGCTACCCAATTCGATACCGTTGTTTGGCCGTTTAAGCACCGGGGCTTAAAAGTACGCCACGGCGGTTAGGACGCGCTAAAAAACCGAAATGTATTTACGAATTAACGGTTACCGGGTAAAATTAAAAGCGCTGGTTAATAATAAAAGCGACGTTAATTTGTTGCATAGCCGTTTTTTGGTAAAAGCAAAAAAAATACCGGTATTAAACGGGGGCTATTTGGCATAGCTCGATACCAAAAAACGCATGCTTACGCTAAAAGTAAAAAAGTACAAAATTTGGGTAATAAATAGTTAAAAAATAACCCGAAAATTAATGGTATTTTACGTAATGGTACCCCGGGCCGGGTATAACATTACGTTAAACATGCTTTAACTTTAACAAAAAAATATTAAAATCCGGTTTGGAAATATAAAATAAAAGTTTCCGGTAATTACCAAAAAAGTTAAAATAATTTCGTTAGAAATAGCTAAAAAAAATTGGTTTAATTGGAACAAGCAATAACCGTATTAACGGTTGCACGCTTGGAAACCCCGGAAAACCCCGGGGAAAAGCTAAAAGCTTTCCCGGAATAAATTAAAAAAAATGGTTGCAAAATATGCGCAACTTTATAAATTAAACCTTTTGCTAAAACATATAAGCTGGAATTACGCAATTAAATTGAAAAAAAAACGATACCGCTTTACAAAAGCATTTATCCTTTATCCGAAAAGGAATTAAAATAATAAAACCATAACAAAAGGTTAAATCCGGCATTTAATTAGCCCCGCCGGCGCCGGAATTTTATTCGTTTTAAAAAAGAACGGGAAGTTCCGTTTTTGTATCGATTATCGGGGTTTTAACAAAATTATTAAAAAAAACCGGCTAACATTTCCGTTAATTTATAAAATATTTAACCAGGTATTCAAAAACCAGTATTTTACCAAATTGGATTTAAAAAACGCTTATTATAAAATACGGATCCAATAAAAAAACGAATAAAAAATTGCTTTCCGTTGCAAATATAAATATTATAAATATTTGGTAATGCTATTCGGTTTGGCCAATGCACCGGCAACGTTCCAAAGCTTTATTAATATAACATTTAAAAAATTAATTAATAGCATTTGCATTATGTATTTAAACGATATCCTTATTTTTTCCAAAATACGGGAAAAGCACCGTAAAGCAATAAAAACGATGCTAAAGCGATTTAAAAAGTACAAGCTTTACGTTAACCCGGCCAAATACAAATTCGAAACGAATAGCATTAATTTTTTAAAATTTAAAATAACCAAAATTAAAATCGAAATTTTGCCGGACAAAATCGTTACAATTTAAAAATAAAAATACCGGAAAGCATTAAAAACGTGCAAATGTTTTTAAGCTTTACGGGGTATTACCGGAAATTTGTAAAAGGTTACGCGAAAATTACCACGCTTTTAACGGATTTTTTTAAAAAAAATACGGCGTTTTACTTGGGAAACATTGCGAAAAAGGCTTTTTGCAAGTTAAAATTGTTATTTATACAAGCCCTAGTGCTAGTACATTTTAATTTATCGAAACCGTTATATGTAAGGATTAATGCTTTGGCTTTTGCAATAAAAGCAATATTGCTGCAATTGCAAAACGGCCGTTAACATTCGGTAATTTATTTGTTAAAAAAGCTGCGGCAAAGGAAATTGCGTTATACAATCCCCGATTCGAAATTGCTAGCAATTGTAAAAGCTTTCGAAAAGTAACGGCATTATTTGGTTTATTTACAAAAAATTGTTAAAATAATTACCAATTATTTAAACTATATTTATATTTTAACAAAAAAAAGTAATAAAGCGTTAAGCAAAATAGCTTAAAAATTTAACAAAGTATAATTTTACGATTAAATGGAAGCCAAAATACCGAAACCCCGCAAATGGTTTGTTAAAACGTTTTTAAAATATGCCCGTAAACGGGAAAGCCAATATAGCAAAAAAAAAATTCCGAAGCAATTTGCTAGCCAAATTCCGAAAAGCAACCTACGTAAAAACGATTATTACTAAAAAAAAACACCAAAATAACATTAAAGCGCATTTTCGAAGCACAAGCAAAGGACGATTTCGTTTAAAGCGGTATTTGGAAAAGCAAATTTAACGTTTGGGGGATTAACAACGGCTTGCTTAAGCATAAAAAAAATTTGGGTTACAAATTTAGCGCCGCTGCAACGGGCATGTTACAGTCAGGCCTCTGCTTTTAAGGTAAGGCACTAAAGGAATGTCGAACAGTAGCACGTAATTTAACAAACTAAAGGGATTTACAAAATAACTTGGGTGCGGTTTAAATGCTTGCTCCAAAGGTTATTTAAAAGCTAACTAAAGTTTAACTAATGCCGAAGCCTTAGTTAAAAATTACTTAAAACAGTAAAAAACCCTTTCCTTTTTATAGCCCGTTTTTTACGCTATTTCCAGCTTTCCCAGGGTGGTAATTTGTAATTTTGTCGATAAATTACAAATTATTTAAATAATTTGTAGCTTTGTTAACAAATTACGGGCGGCTTACTTAAGCTTTTTTGTAGTAAGGGGTAAGCGCTTGCTTACCCTTCGCTTTTTTGTCCTTTTTTTCCCGCCGGGTAGTTGTTAATCGTAACATTAAGTTCCTTTTTTACCGGCCAAGCCCTTTTGGCTTATTTATGTCCATTTTTCCCATTGCTAGTTGTAAGTATTATTTTTCCTTATTGTTTAACCGTTTTTTTCCTTTTAACAATGTCGGGTTAAATGCAAAAACGCTTTGCGCGCTTAACCTTTCGGCGCAAAAACCTTTTTGCTTTAGTTTTTGCATTGGTTATCGATATAAATTTTTGCTTTTTTTATCGAAACGTTTTTAAAAAAAATACTTATTTTGTTTTTTTACAAAAATTTTTTCGTTGCGTAAAATGCTTTGCTTGCAACCGTTTTGGCTGCAACATTTTGGGCTTTTTATTTAAATAGTTACGTTTTATCGGTTTTTAATACCAAAAAATTAAGGCCGAAATGCGGGCTGTTAAAGTTAAGCGTTGTGCTTTAAATAACCGTTTTAAGCGGTTTCGCAAGCAAAAGGACTTTTGGCTTAAAAAGCAATTGCGGGCGTTATTTTAAGGTATTAAAACCGTGGAGGAATTGGAGCAAATAAAACGGGCGAAGCGAAAAAAGGCTGCTTTGGTAGCGGCCAATTCCTTTCTTCCTTTTTAACCCAACTTTTTTCCTTTGTTTTTTGGCTGGGCAGCGTTAAAGGTTAATTTTAACTTTAACCCGCTAGCCCTTTTTTAATTTGGTACGTTGTAACTTCCTTAACAACTTTTTTTGGTTATGTAGCGCAATGGTAGCGCGTTTGCTTTTGTAGCGGAAGGTTTTGGGTTCGATTTCCGGTGCAACCTTTCGAAGTTAAATCGACGATATCGGCTTCGGCCGGCGTTATTAATTTGGCTTCGTTTTTTTTTTTGCTAATTTCGAAAGCTTAAAATTTGGTATCGATTTTAAATTGCTTGCGCTTTTTTAATTTAATAAGTTGTAATTCCTTTAACAATTTTTATAAGTTGTATAGCGCAATGGTAACGCATTTGTTTTTGTAACGGGAAAACCTGGGTTCGATTTCCGGTGCAACTTTAAATTTTTTTCGTTCAACCTTTGGTTAGCGAAAAAGGTTTTGCTTTTTTTGCTTAAGCTTGCTAGCTTATCCTTTGGATATGCTATTAAGTTTTTTCTTTTTTTGCTTTTCCAAATTTATCCAAATTTGGGGCGTTTTACAAGCTTTAAGGCTATTGCTAACTTTTTTTTAAATAATACCTTTGCAAAGCTTTTTTGCAATTCCTAAAATTTATTGCGTTTTTCCATATACTATGCTTATCCCCCCATCCTTCCCATTTAACAAAGTATTGCTTTTTGCGGTAATGCGTTTGTTTGTTAAAAATGGCTTCGATTTTTTATTCCTGGTTAAGGTCGATTTTTATTAATTTAATGCTTTTAAGGCCCGGAAGCGCTGGTTTTAGCAAAAAAACGTAAAAAACTGGGTGGATTTGCATGGTTAATAGCAATTAAAGTTCGTAATTAATTGGAAAAATAATACGAATAACCCGAAAAAGGCCCCATTTTTTTTGTCCAGCTTGTTGCTTAGCCTTTTTGTTTTAATGTTGGCGCGTAAAAGGTAAGCGTTATTTCTTTCCTTAAAGGTTAATTTTTCGATCCTTTTTTTGTTAGTTTGCTTTGCTATTTAATAGCGCAAAATTTCCAATTTGTTTTGGAGGTTTTGGTATAATTTGGTAAGCTTTGTTATTTGAATTTCCGTTGCTAAAGCTTTAAATTTGGCTTTAAGCTCGTTGTACGCCGTAAAGGTGTACTTATAATTAGCGTAAAACGGCGTTTTTCCTGTGCTTTTATGCATAAAGCTATTGTAAGCAAATTAAGCAATTGGTAATAATTAAACCCAATTATTTTGCTTGTAAATAATATAATGGCGTAAATATTATTTTATCGTTTTGTTAGTTCGTTCCGTTTATTTATCCGTTTAAAGGTGGTACGCTGTTAATAAAGCGTATTTTGCTTTAAAAAGCGTTGTAAGCGTTTTCCAAAATTTGCTTGTAAATAGCTTGTTTTGGTTCGTAATTAATTTTTGCGGCATTCCGTAATTCGTTATTACGTACCGAAAAAAAGCGTAAGCCAAATTTAGCGCGTTATTGCTTTTTTTATAAAGTAAATACAAGGCATATTTTGTAAGCTTATTTATTATTACCAATATGCTATTATATTGTGTTTTTGTTAAAAGCTTTTTGGATTTACGCAATTTAACAACAAAATTTATAATAACTTTTTGCTACGCCTTTTTGGGCGCTGGTAATGGTTAAAGCAGCTTATAAAGGAAATGCTTGCTGGGCTTGTCCTTAATGCACATTTAACAATCTTTTATTGCTTCCAACATTGTTGCCCGAATTCCGGTAAACCCGTAATGCTGCCGGAGCTTTTTTTACGTTTTGGTAGCTTTTGAATAGCCATAAGCTAGCAACCCGTAAATTTCCAAAATCCTTTTTGGGGTTTAATTTTGCTTTTTGGTTATTAAAGCTATTATTTGTTAAGCTAAAACCAACGCCTTTTTTGGCTTATAAGCCAAAAGCGTTTTGGTTTTTTTTAAAGTAATAACTTTGTGGTTGTTCCTTTTGCTTAAAGCGTTTGCCTTTCCGTTTTCCAATCCTTTTCGGTACAGGATTTGGAAATCGTAATTTTAAAAATACTGGTTCCAACGGATTTAACGCTTGTTAAAATTTTGGCTTGTAATAAAATGTGCTAAATTTTTATAATTGGTATATATTGTTATTTAATGGTTTGCTCCATATAAATATACTTTCCATTTTTCCAAAGCTTTAATAATAGCGAAAAGCTTTTTATTATGGATTTGGTAATTTAATTTAAGTCCTTTAAATTTTTGTAAAAAAAAAGCGCAAAAGTGCAGCTTTCCTTTTTTATTTCGTTAATTTAATTATTTTTCGATCGCGTAATTTAACGCGTTAATTTTAATTTCGAATGGTTTGTTGGGGTTTAGGATAACCAATATTGGTTTCCGTAAAATAACGCTTTTAAATTGGTTAAAAGCAGCTTGTTTTCGTATTTTTTAATAAAATTGGGTATCGTTTTTGGTAAAATTTGTAAATGGCGTGGCGTTGCTATTAAACCCTTTTATAAACCGTTGATAAAAGTTAAAAAACTTTAAAAACGCCCGTACTTTTCGTACGTTGGTAAGCGCTGGCTAACCGGCCATTTTTTGTATTTTGGCTGGGTTTATCTTAACTTTTCCTAAGGTAATAACAAACCCGAAAAAAACCATTTTTTAAGCGTACCATACGCATTTATTCGGGTTAATTAAAAGCTTTGCGTTTTGTAACTTTTGCAACATTTGGTGCATATATTGCTTGTTCTTTTTTAGCGTTTTTAAATATATTAAAATGTTATTTAAATACGTTAAAACGAAAATATCGAAATGTTTTCGAAGCACGTAATTAATTATCCGTTGGAACGTAATTAACGCGTTGGTAAGTTCGAAAATTATAACCAACGATTTGTATACGCTAAACCGTATTCGGAAAGCAATTATCCATTTTTACTTTTTTTTAATTCGAAACAATCCATATGCTTTTTAAAGGTTTAAAGCCGTAAAGTATTTGGCTTTGCCGAATTTGTTGCGTAATTCGTCGATAAAAAGCAAAGGATATCGATTTTTTATTGTAATTTTGTTTAATGGTTGGTAATTAATGCACATTCGTTTTTTTCCGTTTTTTTTGGGCACAAATAAAATTTTGTATTTTATTGGAAATGTCGAAAATTTAATTACCCTTTTTTTAAATTTTCCTGTAATTGCTTTTTTAACCTTTTTTGCTGTTTAAAGTTAAATTAATATAGCTTTTGGTATTTAAATTGCGCATTTGGTTTAAATTTAATTTCGTGGTTAAACGGCCCGTATTTTAAAAGCACCATTTTTAAGTTTTTTTGGAATAACCTTTAATATTTATAATATTTCGAAAGTACGTTAACTAATTGTTATAGCTTTTATTTAAGCTTATCGTAAAGCGTTGTTATGGTTTTTTGTAATAAGGTTTAAAAGTTGCTGCTTTATTTTATTTCCGTTAAAATACCCTTTTTCGGTTTTATTTTTACATTGTTTGCGGTTTGTAATTGTTAAGCTTTTTTAATTGTTAGTAAAAGCTTTTATTAAAAATCGTTTTTTTTTAATTAATTTTTAAATCGTGCTTTTGTAATTACGGAATTTTAAAAATTATATTTTCGTTTCGTATTTCCAACGCGTTTAGCGTTATTTAGAAAGTTTTGCTTTGGTATCGGAAATTAAAGTAATTGGTTTTAATATCGATCCATTCGTTATTGTATTTAACTAGCTTTTTTTTTATTGTTGTAAAAAAGTATGGCTTGTTTTTTTTGCGTACAGGAATACCAAATCGTTGCATTATTTGTAGCAATACGTAATTGCTTTGGGCTTTGCAATCGATTAAGGTTTTTAAGCGATAAGGTTTTTACCATACCTTTATGTAAAAGTATTGTTTGTTCGGGTTAATCGTTATTGCTAAGGTTTTTATTGCGGATAATGGTTTTTTTTGTAGCTTTGGTATAGGTAAATTCCTTAATTTTTTGTTTCGAAATATTCCGTTTAAAGCTTAAATAGCTTTATTTTCCATTTTTTGCGTACCTTTACGTACTTTGGGTTGTTAAAGTTATTGGAAAATTTATGCAAGCTTTTTACGTTTTTGTTGTACCGAATTGGTATATATAAAAGCTTGTATTTTATTTGCCATGCTTTGGCTTTTTGCATAATATGGACTTTGCATTCCAATTTTTTGCATTTTTGCCATTTTAAAATCCTGGCAATGCAAAGCATAGGCCATTGCGGGTTGGTTCGAAACATTGCCAATTTTCCGTACTTTTTGGTAATAAACCATTTGGGTAATTACCATGCCAATTTTGGTTTGGTAATAAGCTTGTTGGTTTATCGGCAAAAAAAAAGTTATTTCGAAACTTTTAAACCAAATGTATTGCACAATCCGTAACGAAGCATTTTTTTTAAAATAATTACAAATGCTTTTGGTAATTGGGCATAAAGCTATTATAATTTCTTTTTTTGGTGCTATTTCGTAGCTTTTTAATTTATTTTTGGCTATACGCTTGCAACCGGGTGTACTTTTGGTACGTAATTAAATGGTTATTATTAAATTAGTTAATAAAGCGCTTAAAGTTATCCTTAGCTGGTATAACTTTATAAAAAGTGCCGTTTTCGTTTGGCAAATTAACGTTTTAAAAACACCGTTAAACTTTAGCTTTGCTTTAAATTATTTTGCTTTTTTGAAATTGTTCGATTACGGCTTTCGGGCGTGCCAAATGCAAACCTTTTTTTTGCTTTTGCATAGCAAACCCGCTTTAGCAAAACGGTTTGTAATTAGCTTAATCCAGCATTATTGCGTATGCATATGCTAAACCGTTAGTTTCGACCATAACAAATTGGTTGTGGTTCGATTCGTCCTTTTTTGGCTAACGCTTAATTTGCGTTTAAAAATTTTGCAAATTAAAATTTTAATTGCGTTTTAACTTGTATTTTTATTGGTACCGTTTTTGGTACGCCGCTTGCGTATATTTTTGTAAAATGTAAGCGTTTTTGGCGTAGCGGCAAAAGCTGTTTAAGCTTTTTTTATTGCTTTTTTTTTCGAAATTGCTGCTTTCGAACGTTATTTATCCGTAAAAGCTTTTGTTTGTTACCCAAGCTTTTACTGGCTTAAAAAAAGCAAAGTCCGGGTTTTGGAAAAATTTTATAACATTTTTTATAATTGGTTCGTTCCTTTTTTCGTTGCTTTTTAATTCGAAATTAAAAATTAAATTAGCTTTAACC